ATAATCAAGTTTATTAAAATTACTACTAATATAAATTGAACAATATAACATTCTAGTTCTGTTAAGTTATTTAATTAATTTTTATGCATAGGTATTACATTTTAGATATTGTTAACATTTTGAACATTTTTACTACAGTGAAAGCTGTTAACAAAAAAGTTAAAAGGGTATTTTTGAGAGGCCCTTTGAAAAAATTGCCTCATGGGCCCTTTAAATCCCAGGCCGACACTGACTACGTATATAATTATTAATTTCTAATAATTTATCATAGTCCAAAATATCTTTTAAACATATTATCGTGGACAACACTATTACCCTTATGGCCTTATGGTGGGTACATAGGTACACTGTACAGTGCATAACTTTAACTTCGGACACTTCAAATTTTGATTCAAATGTATAAACATTTTTAAAAAATAAATCATGTGTTCAATAAAATAAAATAAAAAATAAAAAATTGTATCGTTACAGCACGTTATATAAGTGACGTAAAACACTAAAACATCTAAGTTTTAGAAAATAGTATGTTCTTCTAAAGTTTACTTAAAAATTCAAATAGCAACATGTATGTAGGTTGTTTATGAAGAAAATTCGGTTGAGCAATGAGCACCTAAAGTGTATTATAAAGATATTCGAAGATCGTAGGTTATAGGTTACAACACAATAATATAGGAAAATTAAAAAATACATTTTTGTCAAATAAAACAAGATTTATTTGATTTGTTTTCAACACCAAACAACGTAATATAATATATAAAGCTGGTAATTGGTATATAATTTATAGTCAACCAGAAGCACACCAAAACGTACAGTATATTTTTTGGATACAACAATATATTACGTGTAAGTATACCTATATGGATATACCTAATGCGTAATATTTTGTATGAAACCGTTTAATCGAAAACAGAAAACAAAAGTAGTTATTATATAGTATGTCACGTCTTAATACGTAAACACCGACTTTAAATCACAAATATAACATTATGAAATGCCATGATATGTGTACAAAGTTATCGTTTAACGTATTATAAAATAATTGAATGGTTTATATTTTTGATTATTTAATAATGGTTGCAATTAAACATTCAGCCGGTTAAATAAAATATATTAAAAAAAAAATTACAAGTCCTTAACAATTACGAGTATACTAATATATTTTCATATATATTTATAGTAAGTATATAATGTAAATGAATATCAGTGTACGGAGAATACTTGCTGACAAAAAAAAAGGAAATCAATTACGTCGCATTGCAACGGTCAAGTTTTAAAGGAAACGATAACGAATAATTTCTCACATAAATCTTTTGGTCGTGAAAATCTCACACTCATTTCATTGTACACATACCTCATATTTAATAGGGTACCTACCTATTATTATTTATATCCATCCTCACGACCTCACAATAATATAACAATATTAATATCATCGATATCGAGCCATAGGCGATTGCGGGAAAAACGGTTTCCTATTATAATATTTATTAATTTCGTCAGTGGAACTCTATGAAAAAAAAAAAATTAGTTACGCGTAAACGAATTTTGGTTTTTTTTGCATATTACCGCAATCCGGCGTCGGCGAAAGTTCAAGAATTTTCAATTCAAGAAGGCAATTTTGTTCGAGTTTGAGTTAACGCTAGCGTTGGTGGAAATATGCAGGTTTGTTATAATGACATTTCAACTAACGGGTTAAACTGTTCGTAATTTAGGGGCCAATTGAAGTGTGATAATATTGTATTATATCTACTATGTTTATTATTATGTTTCAAGTTGTCAAGTTCGGAGGGGGCGCCACTGGAGTCTGGATGTACCTATTGTAATCAGGTATTTGAGATTGGATATTTCAACGGCCGGGCATTAGGTGCTGGAACTGAATAATTACCATCAACGATGACGTTGTTTAATAAATATTATTATTACTTTATCGGGGGGAATTTTATTAATAATTTATTATTTTATTTTATTTTATTAAACGAAAATCGTATCCAGACCAAAATAATTTATATTATTTTTTGATGCTACAAAAAAAAATACAATGTCATTTTTTGATGCTACAAAAAAAATACAGTCATTTTTTGATGCTACAAAAAAAATACAATGTAAATGAGGCACATAGGTACCTCTAAAATATTTTTCGTAGTTTCTGTTAATGGGTTCGACATCGATAACTTATAATAGGTGGCTTAAGTATATAAATATGATATTATAAACATATAATAATAAAAGCGTTCCAATAATGATAATAATAATATATAACTTATATAATCCAAAATACATCGATTACGATTAAACATAGATTACAGTAACTAACCCGTTTGAGCGCCACCATGTGGGCGTTAAAAGTTCCTAGAACATCTTCAATAATATAATCTTAATAAACTGTAGTAAAAACACAAATTAACACGTACTAAGTAGGTTTTCATAGAACCTGTCCATAAGTGTAAAAAAAAACAACACATTAAATGCAATTATAGCATAACATCGAAAACATATAATTTCTATATCATTTTTCTCTCTTCAATCACTATTAAGAATATAATTTTTTTTCTTGTGATAGCTGGTAACAAATACAATTTAATAATAGGTACCAATAATTGCGGACCGACAAAAACAATACATAACGATAACTCAGAATCTGTGAAATCGTTCGACAAGCGCTTATACATTATACTATATTGTGCACGGCAAGTGTCGATAGAATGAGAAAGCTCGACGAGCGACGGCCAAAGTTCGACATAAAATTATTATAATATGGCTTTCAAATAATTATTGTCCACGTCTCTTTTTTTCCACGATGGGCGCTAACACGGAAAATATACAATAATGTATAATATTGTGTATTCTATCGGATAATTTAGCTTTAGTCATAAAAGTTATAAGATTACTGTAGTGGCCGCTTAACACCGACGATCGAGAAACACAGCTGTGTCGAAGTAAAACGTGGTACCTATCTTATACACAATTGTATACATTAGTGCATGGGATATAATATCGAAACTGGCATTGCGAACTTTAATTTTTTTTAATCTACATTCGTTAAGATTGGTTTTGACGAGCATTTTTAGCAGTTATTCGACGTGGAATGAAAACAAGTCCGAATTCTCTAATAGAAAACTCGATCGATTTGTAATTTTTAATAATATAATGCGTTATACTAAATCTGACAAGTGACAACGCGTAATATTGTGCACGGAAAAAACGAAGAAGCTAGCATACCTATAGATAGTATATTAAATTGTAAGAATAAAATATGTTTGTGCTTTAAACATTCATTATTAATAATACAACGATGATCGACAGCAATGTAAGATATTTATTATTTATAACATCTATACACACAAATTGATTTTTAACGGACGCAAGACACGAATGAAAAGCAATAATAATTAATAGTCGCTATTCTTAAATTAATTTAATAGTCACGCCAAAAACAAATACGCCGACGATTTGATCAACAATAACTACCTGCCTATAATATTCATCATTGGATCAAACTGGCGATCCACCGGTAATATTGAGTAATGGATAAATTATTGTTCGCCTAATCAAATGAATTGCGATTCAAACTGGTGGCGAAACGATTCAATCGGTAATAATTTATCCAAAAAAGTCGAAGATCAAACGAGATGTTTTGCGTAGGCGTTCAATTATTAATATATAGCTAGGTTAATATGGAGGTCATATTATGATGAAACAAGTTCGTCGGAGCGTACGGATTACCTGGCGACGACCTGTCAACAACACGGAATACGATAACCGTACTCGGTCAGAGATTTCCGGATATTATTATCGAACAGTTTACAATATTTCTGGGCCCGGGGACAAAAGTCGTGTAGGCAAAACGAAACGCGTCCGATCCACAAACGTGGTATAACCTATAACTTAACACAATTAAATCAACAAATTAAATCTAAATCCTTTATACGGAAGATTACAAACTAATGTCAACATTGTTGCTCAAACACTATAATATTATAAAATATATTGTGTGTAATGTCTGTGTGTGCGTGTGCGTTATTGATGTGATAGGGCATAGGTGAGTTTAATGTTTACTTCACACGTTATCAAAATAATAAATTATAAATAATCGACATGCAAAAATAACGTAGAGAATAAATCGTAGTAGATACCTATCTAATTAACGGGTGCGATTTTATGATGAGAAAGACTGTATAAGAAGAAAGAAACACAATGAAAAAAACAAAAATTAAAATCAAAATTAAATGCGTCCGATTATTAATATTGTTAATGCTATAATGAAAGGAACAAATGGCAATAGATAATACACCGTGAATAGAGAACATAATATAATATAATATCATCATAGGTATTATTGGGAGATTTGGAAAAATATAATGGCATGCAATGTTTTTGTGTTTGGAAAAAAAATATAATGTACGAGATAATAAAAAAAAATTATAAAAAAAGTAACGTACAAAAAAAATAATATATTGTTAAAATCGACATTTCTTGTATAAATTGTACTGTATTTTGTTTTTGTGTATTTTTTTCCAAATGATATAGTTTATCATTTTAATAATGAATATTACTAAAATATTATGACGTTAACAAATTCAAACATAGAAAGTAATAATACAAATAAAAATGATAATACTAACTTAAAGTTCTAGATACAAGAAGTCATATTATCACAACAATTAAAAAAAAAAAATAAAACAAATATATAATTTAATGAAAAAAAACCTTTTGTGGTGCTCCCGTGAGCACCAAAATAAAACTTATGATTCGTTTTTTATCGTAATATAATATAAATATATATTATGTATATATTTATATAAAAAAAGTAAGTTATAACTTGTATTAATTTATATATACTATATTAAAAATATTAATATTATACCGGATAAAATTAAATGTCATTTATAGATTATTTACAAATTAATATAATATGTAATAACAACGAGAGAAAAAATAATAATGGTCAAATTTAAATAATAATAAATTACCATAAGACAGAAATAATAATCAATAAGCATTTACTCCTTCTGTTCCTGCTCCTGTTCCGGTTCCTGTTGTTCCTGAGGTTCTTCCAGATGTTCGTGCAACAATACCGAAATCGAGTCCTTGACCGCGTGGAACATGATATTCTTTATCTGCAGCTTGTCCTCGTGGTTGCTGTGGCTGCTGGACAGTTCGCGGAACTCGTTCATCAACCGGAAACACTGAGAAACGTTTTCGGGTGACACGAAGTCACCAGCCACTTTTATGCAGCTGTGCAGATTTCTCACCTGCAAAACGACCAAAAGGATAATAAATATTGTGCTTATAATATAATATTACAATATTATATTATCGTGTGTTAGTTAAACGCCGAAACAGCATGACGTATTTCGTAGAATAAAAAAAAAGTCAAAACATTATATGGTGGAATTATGTGGTAGGTATATTACAATGGAAATAATACTATGATGATTATAATTTATAAAATATATGATGGATTATTATTATTATTGTTGTGTTATAACCCGTGTTGTACCTGGTGTGGGGCTCCGGCCGGGATAAATATGGCGTCACCTAGACACTGTACCACAGCATAGCCCTGGACACCGTATTCAGTATACAACCGTGCCCTGAGATCTGCGTCCAAGTATGAGGATTGGTCGTGGATGGGATCATGGTTGGGTTCCAGTGGTTTCACCGCGTTCGGCGCTCACTTGTTCAACAGTCGCGTATGGAGTCTGCGTCCTTGGCGTGATAAATGTGCCACACCGCACCCGGCAACTCTTTGGGCTCACGAGCCCGTCTCCTACTTGCCATGTCACATCCAGCCTCGCGATGGCCCGATACGCTCTGAAACATCCATATATTAAAGGCAATATAATAGGACTGGCCACAGCTATATAGTTTTGTAGGTTAAATTTAATTTAATTCGTAAATTAAACCAACTAATCAACTACAAAATAATATGGAAATAGAGCATTGATTACAATTATTATAATAATTTAATAAACAGACATTTTTATAGAAAAAGTATACAAGTAAACGTCAAGAAAACCAACGTAAATAAATAATATAAAAGACAAAAATGAACTTAAGTGCGTACACTGTACAAGTTTGACTAATCAGTCAAGTGAACATTTTTTCAGCATCTTCAATTATACGACTGCTGAAATATAATTATAAAATTACAATAATGAAAGGACAAAGAAACTTCCCCTGTGGAAAGACATTGTATCATGAACATGACTTCTAATTTGCAAGAAAATAATTATAATATAGATAATATTATTTTCGTGTTAATCATAATCATTACTATCAGGGATTAAAACCGCGGTTTTTTCATATTTCAACACGAATAATTCATATTTCCGGAACCGAAACCAAAAGTTAAAACACCGGGAATAACGGTTAATAAACCGTAACTGAAACCTAGAATCTTAAAAAACCGTTTACAAAAACTAAACCGAAACCATTCAATATTGAAAACCCGTTCTTGAAACAGATTGAAATTTAAAACTTTTATCGGTTTCTTCGAATTTTATAAAGTTAATTACCTACCTATATTATTTATAATTCTAGTTAAAACGAGTATTTTTATGCGTAGAAAATATTTTGTTAAAATAGGTACCAATGCTATGATTTATAATTTATAATATCATTACTATACTCACTGATTCAAAATTAAAATACACATATCACAATTATTATTGTTATTTTGTTCGCCCCTAACTATGCGGCTATGCACGTCTGTATTGTTGTTATTTGATGTATTTGTGTATATTATTATTTATTAATGTTATATTAATGTATACAAAAAACTAGTAGCGTCCCAACCACTGCTAATTTTACAAATCTAACATATTTTAGGGTTCTATGCTAAGCCCTTAATAGAAAATATATAGTAAAATCGGGTCTGCAGTTATTAGGTACTTAAATGAAAAAAAAAATTTCAAAAACCAAAAAAAAATTTTCAAAAACCGTTCTTGATACCGATAAATTTGAAAAACCTTTTTTGAAACCGAAATCATAACCAAGAAACTTGGAAAACCGATCTTAAAATCTAAACCAAAAACATAAAATGTAGAAAACCATTCTCAAAAACCGAAACCGTAACCGTTAAAATTTGAAACGGTTTCGATCCCCGATTACTATGTTAAACGTATAAACTATCAACTATGTCACCAGAGCAACTGATAATTTCATCAAGTGTGTAAAAAAAAAAATATTCTTACGGAGTTCAGATAAACCCCCCAGTTATAGATTATCGCCGCAAGACAAAGATAAATTATATATATCGAATAGGAAAATATCAATTTGCTTTTGTGCATGAATATTATTGCTAATATTAGGTACTTACCCTTTACGTGCCATTCATGATCAGCTTCGTCTTGGTTCTCACTCTTGTGCGAAATAGCCACATACACCATTACATTAACTGCATCCGATACATCCAAATGTAGATTAGTTGTACTCATTAACTGTTTTCCGGAATCGCGATTTCCAGCGTTCCCGTAAGCTGAGTACATTTTTGGCCCAAGATCTGGTCGTACAAAACATGCCGGTAATCTTGCGGCCAAATTAAGATTTCCGTCACGTAGAGTATAATCTTTTAACGGCAATACTCTCATTAGATCATCAAATCTGTATCGGAAAACGCTAAATACATTACATTGGTTTTACTATTCGAGAAATCATTAGAAAACTGGAGATACATCGAACGTTAAGAAAATAGTTACCTTTCTGGTAAGGTGTCCGCAAAATCCGTGCCAACTGGCCAGTCTTTTAGTTTCAACAACATGTGTTTACCATCCGAACCTTTAAGTCGCTTGCTTTCGTCTTCAAAACCATCCCAAAACTGTTTCATTGTCTTACCCTCAATAAGCATACCAGTCGCACAGTCAATCAAGTCGTTGGTAAATTCACCGAAGTCACGACTAAACGAATAAGGACTCCACAGTTCCGGATTTAACCTTTGGCCCACGTCACTGACCATCACTGGTTGACCTCTTTTCCACTGTTCCTACAAAACACAACCAATTGCCGTTAAATACGTAGAGATAGTCAAAACAGTAATTTATTCAACATATTATTTCAAGGCTAATATTTCGGATTTACATATTTTACATTCTAACGATAAACATGATTAATATAATTCAAATCCGGCCACGCACAATACAATACGACCATCAATATTAATGTATTCGATGCGAACATCTCGATCACACATTTTTATACTAGTAGTTATTTATATATATATATGAGTAACTGAATAAGAATTTACTTGAAACATGTCGCAGTTCGTAGGATCTTCGGGATCCAAAAGTCTCAACAGTTTTCCGTCACATAGCCAGGTATGGGGATTGTTCGGAAAAAATTCTCGGCTCTCTGCCAGTGTCATTACACGTGGTGGAAGCGGCTCGCGTGGAATGGTTTTCAGATATTTATTTTTCTTACGGACAAAGTGTTTGAAAGGCTGCTGTCTTGTCTCCGGATTAGATCGAACACTCGCTCGTCTGCCATTTGAGCACTATGGAATACAAACGAAAATAGACAAATAATTAATGATTTAACAATGGTTTAATTTCCATGTGTTTATTTTACCCCGGCAATCTGTGGTTCAATTTTAATAGCATTTTGGGATAGACTCTTAGATTTCTCGGCAATATTGTCCAACGAGTTCTCAGCAGGACTTTTTGTAGAGTTTTCAGCAGCACTATTTTTCGAACCCTCGGCAGGAATGTTTTGAGAGTCATCAGACAGTTTAATTTTTGAGTTATCAGCAGACTCGTTTTTAAAATCCTCAGCGGAACTGATTTCACAGTTTTCAGCAGGACCGCTCTGAGAGTTATCTGTATTTGAAGTGCTTGCTTGTGATATTGAAGGCACATTGTCATCGTCGTCATCAGTACTGGAATCGCCCTTAAAATACAGAAAAGACAAATTATAGTGATAATATGTATATATTTGAGCAAATGTATGTATATTATATATTCAAACCTTAGAACCCTATATAATATAGGCCCTATAACTATATAATTATATATCTATAATAATGATATTGAGAAAATAAACCATATTCCTTAGTACCTAGATTTTAAAATTAAATATGTTTTCAGGCATGAAAAATAAAACACAAAGGTGAATCTAATGAATAATAAGTATTTTAGAAGTTGAGACTTTATAAGCGTAGATACAATAAACTTTTTTATTACCTATATATTATAATGATATAAATTAAGGGACCTGCACGTGACCTGTTTTTTTGCTCAAAAACATACCTGGAATGAAAAACTTTCAAGCCTCGTAGATTGATCAGATATTGATAATTTTCTTTTTTTTTTGGAGAGAGAAACTCTTCTTACAGCCTACAGGACATGCATTTTCAAAATTCTATTTCTAAACCATATTATACGATTTTTAATACGACCATTTTTTGTTATTTTTACTATGATTGTTTTAAGCATAACGAAAATAAAAATCTAAGTCCAATGCTCACTGTAGAGAAACATCCTCTTCCTACTGAAAAAAAAAATAATCAAAACAGAGAACTATAATGTGTGAGAATTGTTCCTGTTTTTCGCAAAAAATCACGCTTTTCATTTTTATTAGGCGGTGCCGTTGACATGTGCGCACATACGTAGATAGTTTGGTGGTACCCGCTACAATCACACTCACACTAATCAACATTCACCTTGTGTTTGTAACACTATTTAAAATGTTTAAGTTGTTCATAAAACTAATGAATTATCTTAGATAAAATAAAATAGTGAAGGCAAAAAAAATATGTTGTTTCAATACATAGATTCAACTTTGACTAACAAATATATTGCCATCTGATTAAAAATAGTTAAAATTTGAAATCGAAATCAATATTTACCGGTATCTCAGGGAAAGGATGGTCTGGACAACCACATTCGATTGCAAGGTTCCACAAAGAACTGACTCTGTGTAAATCAGAGAATACAACGTCCATCGAGTCACTGGCTACGATTTGTGTAAGCATGAGCCGCTCGACGTCGTGATTATGTTTGCTGTTACACGTCATCCATGTGAATGTATCCTTCTCTCGCAGATCCTTCTTAGTCATGGACGCGGCGTTTGGCAACTTTGAAGAGCCATTGAGACGCGCCTGCACAACAACCGTAATATATCTGTGTTAGTTATAAAGGTATAACATATTTTATAGAAATTATTTAAAACCAAACGTATCCCTCGTATATATGTGATTCGATTTAGCATAAAAAAATAAGCAAAACGGACACGTGAATAATATTTTTCTTAACAACAATTTATGTAATGATGTGTGTGAATAAATACAAACCGAACATTAAAAATAAAAAATACTGATACATATATAATATATAGATACTTCTGTAGGTATTAAACCAAGTACGTTTTTATGATTTCTTGTTTCAGCATTGATTATGAATTAGGTAATAAATTAGCTGTGCATTATTTTGTTTTTAATTTCGACTAAGTTTACAGAATTTAAGTTGTATTCACTCGAGAACACATAATATTAACTATTATTAAGAAATACTAAAATTATTATAACTTATTTAATAAACGTATTGGTATGTAGTTGCATTATTTCAGTTTCACGCATTGTTAAATCTTTTATAAGAAACAGTATAAAATAACTAGAACAATTATTGATGCGTTTAAGATAAGCGATTATTAAAAAAATATATATATATATATACCTTAACACAATCGATGCAAACACCAAAACCACATTTAGCGCAGGCCCAGTGGTAGTTAAAAATAGTTGTAAGACAAACATCACACATTTCCCTCACACCATTAGCTGCTTTTTTCCACGCAATAGGTTTGCCTGCAAAACAAATAAAATATAATTTTTAAATTCACTTTTAACACGTGAAATTAATTACCTTGGAAATATGGTGATAGAGTTAGAGCTTTATTTTCTTCTTTTACTAAATAGCAAAATTGACGACCAGCCTCAACTAACACTTTTTTTGCAACTTCAACATCTAATGAAGTTGGTGGACATTCCGGGTTAGGTAGCCAAAGATTCGCATCATCCTAAAATAAATGTTTAATTAATAAATTATGTTCCTTGAGTTCTAAACATAAGTTAGGCACAAAATTACTTCAGTAATATCCAAGAAAGGATCGGGAAACCCAGCATTCATTAATTGCCCAGTTTTGTTTGTGAACAACCGACGAAATGCGTAGAACCGACAAAATATGTTATCAATTTCATCTTGCGTCATTAAATCATTTTTCTTATTGTTTATGAATATACGGCATTCTCGACATTTATGTATCTTTGGCCCAGCATTTAAACATGGGCCCGATTGAAAAAACCGCACCTCACCGTCATTATTTTTTCCTTTTTTCAATGGTATACTTACAACAACCTTGGGTTTTCTTCCTCTTTTTTTAGGAATCTTAATCGGTGGAACTTTCTTTTCCGTATCCAAAGGCTTCACATTGTCTGTTGTGTCTTTATTTTCTGGAGGTATCGAGGGATTAGAAACTTTTCTTTTCTTACACTTTTTGGTCCCACTTCCCGATGAAGTCGACGGTTCTGAGTATGAAGTACTCGGAAATATTACAGGAGGCGATTTTGCCTCAATATTATCGTCCGATGAGCTTTTGGAAATTTTTCTTTTTTTGGTAATTTCACACTGTAAAACTGGAGGAGTATCATCCATTTGAGAGAAAGAATGTGATGGATTTTGGTCAATATTAACGCCTGCTTCTTTCAAGTCTTCTGCCCATACATGGCGTTGTAACCATGCTTTCTTTAACTTGTGATGATGGGTTTTTATTCCACTAGACATTTCTGTATAAGTGGCGGGCATTAGCACCGGAGGTGGTGTAGATGGAGAAGAATCATAGGTAGTCGAGTTAGTCATTGGAATATTTGAAGAGGTTGTCACCGAACTTTCTGTTGAAACCTTAGTTGATGATGAGGTTGTTGAATTTGTTGCTGGGGTTGATGCAGGAATAATTGTTGGAATCTCCGTTGATGCTCTGGACGGGGATATTGAAATGGAAGTTGGAATAATTGTCAAATTAGGTAAAACGGTAGATGAAATGGAAGTTGGGATAGTCTTTGGATCAATTTTTGAAATAGTAGATGGAATGGAAATTGGGACATTTATCAAATTAGCTGTTGAAATTGTTATTGGTTTGCTTGATGAATTACTTGCTGAAACAGTAGACGGCAAAAACATTGAGTTGGTCGATGAGAGTGTTGTTGTTAAGATAGCTGAATTGGTAGTCGAATTGCTTATTAATGTGATCAATGGTGAGCTCACATTATTATTAACAGGCAAATACATTTCTAAATAGTTATGTTTTTTAGGTTTAACACAAACATTTAAATCATGTGTGTTTGTGGAATCTTGAGGATCTGGTTTGGCATTTTTGTAGTTAGAATTTAAATATAAAGGAACATCAGTTTCAGGTGTAGCTTTATTACATATCATAACTAGATCTAATGCTTCCGTTTGGAGATCATCATTTGGTACTGCGACAGGTACAAATTTTGGAAGGGCACTAGACATCATTGCATTTAAGTGTGCTGGAGGGGGCGTGTCTAAATCTCTTTGAGCTTGATCGGTTAGAGGTGGATACAAAGCATAACGACCGTGTGTATTTAATAGAGGCCCAGGATGATGTTGTTCCGGAGGAGAGTTGTGACCTTTTAATTGACTAGTATTAATCGAAGAAGTTGATGTCCTGGAGTAATGCATTGGTTTGGCTTGTTTTTGTTCTTTATTATCTAATTTTACAGCAGGGACAGTTAGAATAGTAGGAGTACGATTATACGAATAAGCATCTGGCACAGCCATCGATGAGTTTTTGTACGAAGACTCGTTTCTAACTATCACTGATGAACTGGAAGGAGGTGCATACACATGATTTGTATTCATGTAAGGAGCATACGAGATCATATTATTGTGGTTTCCACCATCGTTGGCATTTTCATGTTCGAAATTCGATATAGGAACGGCCCGACTTCTATAATGCGCTTGCTGCTATGAACATATAAATAATAACAATAGTTAAATAAACATTTCCAAAAATAAAATATATTATTTATATTTACGTTTTGTGCATATGAAAAATACAAAGTATATTTTATTTTTTTATGAAAACAGACTGCTAGCGTATATCGATAAAAATTATAAAAAATGTTATTTTCTTCTGAGAAAAACGAGATCATTATATTAATTTATATATTTTTTTGTTGAAAATGTTCGTAACTATACAAGATTTAAGACTTTAATCACAGATTTCTAGTATACCATAATATAACGTAAGTACCCAAATATATAATATACATGTATATATTTAAAACTCATAATTAAAATTAATATTTTTTTATTATTTGTTCTTAAGGTTCCACGGAAATGGTTATTAACTTATATAATTAACTTTTGAGAACACTAGAAATTTGAAAAATCACAAACACTAAAACGAATTGAGATCTTCTCAGAATTGCTTTTTAAATTAGAATTTTCTAATTACAATACACCAAGTTTTTATACTAATTTTCTATCTTCAACATTTTTTGATTGATAATAAATTTGATTTCATAATAATTATTGTTTAACTAAAAAATAAATTTTTAATTATCCGTACTGTTAGTTTATTTAAATTTATACTTACGGTTGAAGGTCTAGAAGATGATGGACCAACCGGTGTTGATCTGGTCGGCGCGTATTTATTTTTATTTTCTTTCCAATCGTCGACTCCTCGATGATTGGCGGTTTGATTTGCCCCATTTAGAGGTGGATGTCTTTGCTTAGATGTATCTTGAGTCTTAGGTCCTTGACTTGGGTACACATTTTTCGGCGGGGAAGGCAAATTAGATATCCAATTGGTTCTCTGATAAAAACAATATTTAAATAATGTTATAATTTATATAGAAACTTTTTTCAAACATAATTTATATATATTGCGATACGATAGGGGCTACATGATTGGGTTCAGATTGAATACATATTTATTTAATACATTTGACTAATTTAAAGAGAACAATAATAACCAAATCTGAAAGCAAACATCCTAACATATATTTAAGCATGCAATATTGAATTTAGACGAATCGCATTACTGTCAATAAATTATAGGGTCAATTGGGTAATATTTGATATGGATGTCTCTTCAAATACAATGAATATAGCTGTAAACATAGCAAACCTTTATGTTATTATATTTAATAATAATATTTACGTACACACACACACACGCACACACACACACACATATGTATATAATTATATACATAGGTTTTTTTGACCCTGCTCATATTTATGTTTGTTTCTAAAATCTTTATCGCCAATGATGAAAGTATACTATTATTAAAGTATTATTTATTTATTACCTACAATTTAAAACGTACAATAAAAGTAAAAATAAATAATGACGAGTGTAACTAATTATTTAATTTCATACTCAATATGAAATTCATTTTTCAATAAAGATTAAAAGATATATTTCTAGTTTAAAACATTCTCTTGTAAAGATAAAACTAATTATCTAATACAAATAATATAAAATACAATGAGCACTTTGTTATTAAATGGAATATCTACTGTAAACTGTAGTGTTTTTTGAGCTGTGTAATTTAATCAGACTGTTTTTTTCATAATTGATGGGATATGTATTTTTAAGAACAAAACTTAATAATTGTTTCAGAATATGTATTAATTTTATCAATGATTAGAGGAAAAAATATTTATATATTTTATTATATTATATTGTTAATTTTAAAACTTGTGTTTGTAACAATTTCTAGTTTTCTATTAAATATTTATGCTTAAAATTCATTGCTACATTAATTTTCGTATGTTTTATATTTCAGATTAGGACTGCATGACTTTCAAAACTAATATCACTACCAATAGAAGTTTCATCAACAAAAAAATTAATAAAATTTATGGTACCCATTAATATTATATTGCATGTTTTACAATTATCTGTTACAAATAAATATTTTAGATTCTGAGTGGAACGATGAATGTATTGATTTTACAATGATGTGTGTGTTTTTTTTTTTTTAATTTTATTTGTGTCTGTGTACACGATAAGTATTTGAAATAAAGCTTCGATTTTCAACTTCAGTATCTTGTTCGATTGGAAAGTAAATATCGTTGGTGCATTGAGGAGGTCAAAATTTAAAATTCCCAGTAATTTTCAAAAACGTCAAGAAAAACAAAAGAAAAATTAAGGATAGACGGGAATTTTTACGCAAAATCGAATTTGGTTTTTGGTGTAACTTTAAAAAAAAATGACCGTAGATACAATGTTTATATTCGCATTTTCTATACACGATAACATTTTCAAAATATTTTGATTTATTTTGAACTGTTAAGGGAAATTTTTTTTTTAGTTTTTTTTCTAAATAAATCAATACAATTTTATTTGTTGGTTAAAAAAGCTTGAAAATTTTATAGAATTTTCCTAGTATATTGTTTCAAAGGTAGATAAAAAATATTAAAAATCCTTAGTCACAGTTTTTTTTTATAAGCAAGTTCAAAAATTGACAAAATATGGAAAAATCACGAAAATTAGCAATCTATTTTGAGTTAAGAATTCGTATAAATTTTTCTTTTTAAATACAAGATTTTAAAATGTAATACAAGATTCCTTATAAGATTATCTACCTTTATCAAAAAAAAAAATGTCTACAAGAAATTCATATTAAATTTTTATGAGCGTTTGAACTTCAAATTTTTACAACATTGGATATTCACTCGATTTCTCATGTAGCGATTTCCTTATCTTGTTGTAATTCAAAAACGAATAACTGTAGATACATGTCATTAAAGTTTCACTGAATGTTTATATTAGCAGTTCATACACACCATACAATTTTGAAATTATTTTGACTCTTTTTGAGCTGTTTACGGACATTTACAGTTTTCAATTTTTTTAGGGTTTTTTTCTATAAATATTAATAAAGTTTTATCTGTTGGGCCAAAAAGTGTAAAAATGTAATACAAGGCTCCTGATATATTGTTACAATATCAGTTGAAAAATATTTAAAATACATAGACACAATTTTTTTTTATAAGCATTTAAAGACCGAATTTTGACAAAATTTATCAAATTTAAAATTGTATAATATTATTCGTGGGTACTTGAAACTTCTAAAGTAATCTATTACATATCTATAATAGTATCACGGATTGTTGTTGATGTATAACAAGTTATAAGTACCTAATGGATATTGTAATATGATTAATTTATTATTGGTACAATTTTTTTTAATACCATAGATAAATATATAATATGTCTTATACCTAGACTGACATACCGTCTCCGCTCAGAATCGTTTTTCTTATACAATGATATTATATCATTGAATTCAAATTTAATACCATCCATTATACAGTGACCCACTTGTAACCTACTGTACAGCAGAGCACCTTTTTTCTTTCACATTTGTTATTGAGATATAAATATTAATATGTATAATATATTCTAATTATTAGAACAGGCTAAATGGGTAGGCCTTTACATGTTAACGATCACTCATGTTTTTGCACGATTAGGTTTTTAGAGAATTTATTAAGACATTATTGTGAGTGGTGGATTAAAATTATAAACCAATACATATTTCTACTGATTTTGTTTAATTCGACATAAGTTTGAAGTAAGATAAAAAAATAGAGAAGAATGAAAAATAATATATAGCTTTTCGCATTATAAACAAAGCTACTATAGTAGCTATATGACCAATATATATACATTGGTCTTAAAATACAATCTTCGGGGAATTAATAAAGTGTTGCAAAAGTATAACAATATAAACACTAAAGAAATTATAAAAAAAAAAAAAAATGAAGAATAATTAATCGAAACTCTTACCCTTTGTTGCTGAGCAAGTTTTAGACTCTCCTCGAAATGTTGATGGACAGCTGCCTCGGCTTGTTGCTTTTCGTTATGTTCGCGATTGCCTCTCTGGTGACGGTTTACCAACCGTTCGATTTCCACCTGCCCGTACTCGTTATTCGAAACGTTCTCGATGGGCACACCTCCGCTCCTGTTTTTGCCACCCCCGGCCGGGCCTTGTGGGTACGGCGGCTGTTTGGCTCTTTTCGTTTCTTTGTAAACGTCCTTGTCTGCATTTCCTCTGTGGCGAAAAATAAAGAAAACGATGCATGATAGACAACATAATATACTCTTGTAGACAAGCTCGTTATTCGAAAATCTGAACAGGGTATGTCTCGGTTTTTACGTCGTAGGTAAATGTGCGATATATTTCATTTGAGACGACAATTATTATATAACTGACAACTATACAGCGATATTATAATATATTTGTCAATTTGTCATGTGTACATTTCAGTGTTTGCAAACTTCTCTACGAAAACCTATTCACGTTTGTCAATTTTACAAAATATGAATTCGATCAACCGCCCGCGATCGTTTTATTTCATTCTCGAGTTGTAAATTTATAAATAGGTATTTTTAAGCTAAGTATTTTATGAGCTGAAACGACTGTTTCTCTACTTACACGAAAATAACAATGAAAACGTTTCGAAAATATTTTTACTCCGTAAGTGTTCATTAAAAATGTCCTAATGATAAAGCTCTATTGTACTCAAATTGTTCTTTCACAAATAAACTAAATTTTTTCCAAACACTGAAACGAAAGCAATATAATATGCAGTAACATGATGTAGAAAATAAACTTATAGAAGTATTAATAGTATTATATTAATATTGTTTATGTATTTTGGAATAAATATAAAAATATCATTCACAAACTATACGTCAACCACAATTCAATAATAATCAAAAAATTAAAAATTTTATTTTCCAATGACTAATCTCTGTATTCAAAATAATCAAAGACAGTAAAGTCAATGAAAATAATTAACTTGAGATAGTTAAGTTAAGTCAACGTTAAGAATGTATAAGTTAATAGTTTAACTATTAGTTAAATATTTAACTTTAAAATTTCAAAGATATAATATAAAGAAAAATATCAACTTAATTCAGTCAAGTTTTTTTTAATTACCATATGGGTCACAATACTCACAAATATAGTATGATTATGGAACTTTCAACATTTCGGAGTACCGAAATAGTATTTGATTAAAATTGCATCCAATCCCACAGTATTAGGTACTAATAAGTTTTAATTATAGTTATAGAGTATATTATTATGTGATACGTATAAAAATGATTTTAACTTATATGTAACATATTATTTTTTGAAATTTACTAGAAAAAACTAAGTTGTTACAACAAAGGATTATTTTACTAGTTAAATTAATTAGAAAAATTAATTTTTGAATTATTTAAAGTTAGGTTGTACCTGCTATTTAGTTGCTGCTGTTCGTTGGGGCGATGATGGTGGTAATAGCTGTTGGCCGCCGTCGAATTATTGTTTCCATTTGCCACGGGAACGGTAGGCGGTTTCCACAGCATTCCTCCGGCTGCGCCCATGGTCGGCTGCATCGCGGACGGCGCTGGACTCTGAGGCGGCATCGCTGGTGGAGGCCCGACAGACGGTGGGTGGAAAGGCTGATAGGGATGCATCATCTGTGGCATTTGAGCCGTGTTCGACATGAAAAGGCTCTGATGCTGAACGCTGTCCACGTGTCTTATGGGACCGTTCGGCGACTGGAAAATGCGATATAACAGTGAGTTGGTGGTAAACGACAGCACATAACTTATGTATTATGATTTAATTATTTTACACAAACGATGCGGCAGCAGTACCCGTGTGCGCCCCGCAAGATGATAATATTCAGTTTCGTTTGGGCGACCCACAGACACGGATAATAATTAATAACATAACATAATACGACCCGTTGCCTATATCACATGATTATGAACTATCATCGTGACGATTATTATCGATTTTACCTACAAGAGCTCGGAAGTGGATATATATAAACCAGGTATAATGTTCAATACAAGTACAGATGTGTACCGTGTACGTGTAAATAAGTATACATTCCATAGAATAATATAAAACAAAATATAGATATTGTGAAAGGTTTTTGACTGTAAGCCGGAATCTGCACACAGACGATACATTTCTAAAAACAATTTAGATTGTCCCAACTGTGATGGGAAAGTTGAGATTTTGTTTTGTTTACTATTTTACTATAATGTGTTGTACGCCGGGGCATAATTTAGCTTATAAAATCAACGCGCTACGAATATTATTCAAACAAGAAACTGTTTAATAATTATATAATGTACCCAAAATACTATAGGGTTCAGCTTCAAACATTAAGTCATCGTTCGATGATCGTCGGCCGTCGATAGATATTAAATTGATCGTGATGGCAGTTTTATGATTGAAAAATTCTCATGTGCAGCGAGACGGATAATTATATTCATACAAATATATGCAAATGTCAATCAGCGTTGTGCAACCAGAGGTATTTCAGTAGCATAAAACGTGCAAAAATAATAATACTTAGGCTTAGAAATATTAACGACCTTTTATAAAATATGCATGCGCTAATAACAATTCTACATAAAAGAAAATCTATTTAGTGTAAATGCATAATATGAATTTTTATTTTATGATGTAGTTTCGGCATTCGTGTAGCAGGTAATACTGATATACCTTGTAATTCTAGCTGTAGCAGGTGATCTATTCAATTATATAAATAAATCTAATGGTTGCCTATACACTTTTCTTCTGTAGTGACAGTTTAGTCGATAAAGTTCACTTGTACTCTTGTATTATTATTTATTACTTACAAGTTATAAGTTATCCAAAAAAGTCATTACATAATAATATATACACGTGATTTACGCTGAATGTTTATAATTCTATACCTAAATTATCATTATCATGAAATTACACCAAATTCTGATGGTATATGATAAATGTGAAATATAAGTTTAATATTAAATATAGTTGCACTGGTCGTCAATGACAAGAAACAGTATATTTCAATGAATTAAAATTTGACAATTTGATTTATTTTACAATCAATATTAACTAATGAAAAATAAATGTTAATAAATTGTACGTATCGAAATTTGGTAGATTACCTTGACATCATCCAGCTGTAGACCAACTGCTACACGAATGCCGATATTTTTTTGAAAAATAATATACCAAAACAAATATAAGACGCTCTATATTATGTTATTAGGAAAAAAAATAACCAAATAAATGTACATTACCCAAGGGCGTTTGGTAATCTTTGAGTTTGGTAATGATGTGAATCCGATCGGACGTAGATTTTATAGACACTGTAGACAGGTACTGGGACAGAAAGAAAGGCTACGGAAAATATATTTCCTTCATAAATAATTTACCGATAAATCACACGGGTGCAAAATAATAAAACATTTCGAAATCGAGGGTTTCGTTCCAAACGCTACCCATCGTAACGTCCACAACACAATGCGTCATTATATACATGCACGTATATAATATTATGATGATGATCGCAGCAATGTGTGTATATAACACCTGTACGCTGAAACGTAATATTGATGCAATTATTGTGTTTAATAATATAATATTATGGACGTGACGTTGCTATAAAACGTTCCCTGTTGCAACCCACTGCTGTTAAGTATTATTATTGTAGAGGGTTGCATCTCGGGCCCCCACACGCAGCGGCCGCATAGACTTATCGCGACACCGGCGAGGTATTCCGTGTACGAAGACCCGAAGAGAGTTTATGACAACCCTGCGAGAGGTATCATATAATATATATATATATATACACATTTTCTGCAGTTATTATTATTATTATCACCATCATCGTTATCTGAATATCAATGCTATTATTATATTTTTTTCTCACCAAAAGAAACATCGATAATAACGCGGTGTCCTACGCGAATCCGACAGGTGCGATGGAACAGCGTGATCAGAAAGAAAATATGATATTGTTATCTTATTATATAAGAATGATATTGTTATCATTATGGACTTTTAACGCGCCTATAACGTACTACCTACAAGTCCTACATACTACGTAAGACAAGTCTTATGTCGCATTATTATATGATGAGCTTTGATCCAGTCTGTGACATATATTTTTCACGGCCTTCTAAAAGCCGGTTTTACATTATTACAATATTTGTGAGAAAAACGCATTTCCCACGGAATCGGTTTTAATAATAATATTATTGAACGATAAAATAAAAAGCGAATATTTTATTTAATATTCTCGATTGACGCTCTTAAAGTATTAAAGGGATAACGGCTTTTATAAAATATATATATATACTTACAAACTGTAAGACGGGTGAGGACCTATAACTAATAACAATGGTTTAGTTCGTAAAAATTTTGTAAATAATGTTTGGAGATGATAATAATAATAATATATATGTACCTAATATATTATTTATTCATTTTATTTTCCCATTTATAGCAGAATATAAAAAGTCAGACAAATATTTGAAATCAATAAAAATGTAGGTACTTAGGTTTGTATAAATATTAAACTTTGTAATAAAAAAACAAAAAACTCGTAAAATAAATAATTTCATAATCACATTATATTATAGTGTATAATGTTATATACCTATATACAATATAATAATAATATAATATAATAATCTGCTAAAAGTAACTACCTATATACTTTGTTGAGGGTCGAAGATTATAGGGTTTGAGTTCATTTAATTAACGTTTATTTCAATATTAAGTTATCTATTTGGGAAGTATTTATACTGTTGAAATTGAATAATAATTTATTATGAAAGGTAACCGTTGATTTTACATCGAGACTCGTAGAGTAATAAAATTATTTAACGCAGAAAAAAATCGTTCTATTAAATTGTATTTCGTCTAAATTCCATTAAATCCATTTTATTTATATGTACCTACATATAAATGTTATATATAAGTTATAGAGCTAACTCTACTCCGGATTAAAGCGACGAAATAAAAATGACAAATTGAGACATTTCAGTCTTAATAAAAGAAGGCATTAAATATAATATTATATAATATGGAATTTTCGACATTCGGTTTATCGTGAACTTAGTGAATTAAAATCAAACCAGAAGATTCAATTATTATCATTTAATACTACACAAATAAAAGTAATCTATTATACGTTTTTTTTTAACATTTGATATTGGTTCACTAAAATCAATAACAAATTAGCAAAATCATAATTTAGCACGTTCCCATTCATGAGAATTAAAAAGTAAATATATCTTATAAAAACCTCAAGAGTTGAGAAATAATTAGCTTTTATGCACAGAAACCATTAATTATCTTTAACGAGGTGATGAAATATTAATTTTATTCCTTTTGGGGAAAGCTTTGATGAACATTTAATTATTTTTAAATTTTGCCTTTATACTACCTACCTATTTAGTTTCCAAAATATTATATTTCAACATGAAACTTAAGTTAAAATATCTTTTGAACTACGTGTGTGCTCAGTGCTCACATAAACTTGTATTTTGGTTATCATTTATTATTAACATGTATATAATAAAGTGTACCTACAATTTAATCATATTTATTTATTATTAATTTTGGATTACAAAATACAAATATAATATTACTCATTTTATTTATTAACACATAAATTATAATAAATTTATTCTTTCGTATCTAATGAATTTAATTCTATTTTTAATATATTTTTTCATGTTTAAAAAAACCTGTACTTTAAAAATAGGGAAAATTACCATTGAAAAGAAAAATGATAATAATAATAATAATAAGAGATTTTTTTTTATTTCAATTCATTGAATATATTATATTGTATACCTTTTATGATAAAGTATTTTATAAATTAATTCATTGATGTACAATGCTATACAAAACGTATGGTTATAGTTTAAAAGAAGTTTTCCATCCACGATAAATTGTAGTGTAATAACAACTCCTTGCAGCACAACTCAAACACAACGAACTAACCTGACTCCAAACTGGTAAAATCTTCTTTATTTATTATTTAAAAACAAACTTTAATAAACTGTATATATTATTATTATTTCTAAAAAGTAAAAACAGCAACTATTTTAAATATCAAATTTATTGCTTTATAACAAAATATTATTCTTTGTATTTTACTTTGAACTTTGCAGTCAAACGAGAATACATTTCCCGAACTTACATAATAGATTTATCATTAAAAAAATATTGATATTAAAATTTACATATTGATTATAATTAAAACCTCTGAAGAAAACTGAATAGTAACAAGTAATAATACTATTTACCAAATAAATAAATAAAATAAGTAAATTTACAAATAAAAGTCATGATATCGATATATTATATTTATAATTATTATAGGTAATAATTAAGAGTGTATTTTATAGTATATATGTAGTTATACCTATGTATAAACTATATATATATATTTATTTGTTTGTATTAATAAGTTATTTTGTTTTATAATTTTATTATAGTTATAAAAGTAACTTAAATAATGGACTTAGGACGTTCGAAACTATAAACATTATTACACATAATATAGGTACCTATTTATAATATTATTATCGTTTGTAAATAGTTAAAATGATACTTTAAGCTGCTGTTCATTAATAATTTATGATGATTTATAAATCATTTGGTTTTTTCGTACAAAATGGCCAAATACATAATATTATGTTCTCAAAACCTGACCAAAAAATATAAAATATGAAAGATGAAAGTAGAAAATTAATTTATATCTCTCAAATAATTGAATGTTAACTAATTGCTAAACAACACACATTAATTATACATGCATATTGCATATATCATTAGAAATACACGTCTTTGATTAATTATTATCCATCAAGTATTCAAGTGTTAAAATAATATTTTATAAAACTATCATTAATATATGATGCAACTATATTTTTCCATATTATGTTAATTTAGTTGTAGTGATATTTTAGAGTTGATGATAAATAGGATATTACAGCAAACAAACAAGCTCTGTTTGAGTTTTCTCGTAAAATGAGACAAACACAAATGGAATATAATATTGTAGAGTACATGCATACAGATTTTAATTATTTTTAGTCATATAGTAACGTTTAAATATTAAATTCATAAGACCGCATATCAAAAGAGATGTCCGTTTTTCTAAACACATAATATTATATTATATTAAATTTGTTCGTGCATGACACACAGTGGTTGGTTATTATCTGGTCAAAACGGACGAGAGTATAGAGAGAAGGACGAGAGAAATAAACCATTAAACCTGCTAAAAATGTTGCATCTATTGCTTATGGAACAAAATTCATAAATAAATATATTTAGGTATAAAGTACACGTACGTACAAAGATCGTTTGGGTGTTATAAAAGGGATTTTAAGCGGGGAAAAAAGTCTTTTGACTACTGCAGTAGCTCAGACCATTTCTATATTTTACATCGATATCTCACAATATTATAGGTATGTACTTATAATTTATAAGTGTGCCAAAGGGGTATTCGTGCAAAGCAAATACGAACCGTCATACATATTATATAATTTATTATTTGAACGCTTATATTATATTATTATAACATAATATAATATTATTATATAGCCATATAGGTAGGTTTTCTTAGAGTTTCGAGATATTTGGTATTGATATTGTTTGTTATCGCCCCGCCACCGAGAAATGACGTATTAAATGTATACCAGGTATACCGTTAGTGGGTAGTCTCATTAATTTTAAAATTGTCAATTATTTAAGATCAATATATGTCTCTGTATCTTGGTTTATTGGAATATTATTACACGGAACTCAAGTATGCGAAAATACAAAATATATTTATATATTTATTGAAGATATATAAATATAAGATATATTTTAAGAAAAGAGAAAAATAATCTGAAGTTTAAATGTTGAGTGTATTGTATTTATGATTTATATTGCAAATTGTATTTTATTATATTAATAACATGTATAGCAGGCTTTTCACTTTTCAGCCCAAGAGTATGTGTCAACCGTAGCAAAGGCGTAGGTACCTAACTGTCTTTAAACGTCATTGTTAAAATTAATTTTAATTATGAGTTAGATATTCACCGTAATATTTAAAATAGTGACATTTCAATTTTAGTTGTTATAACGATAACATAGTATATATTATTATCGATAAAAAAAAATAATACGTGAATGAAATGTCTAACAAGAAATTAAATAAGGATCGCTCTAGAAAATTGTCTAATTTTTTTTTATGTTTATTATTCGCGTTCAATTATAGAATATATTAATTATTATTTGTGCTACAATTATTAATTGTAAGGAATGATTAATTATTATCATTATTATTTACTTTTGTTTGAAAGTTTTGTTAGGATACCTAAAAAAATGTCTGAGCAAGACTGACAGTCGCCCGGTAGTGCGATAACAAACGAGTACCATTATTAATATTATTGAAGAAAACGTCTCATACGAAACCACTGTTATTAGTTATTACATACAATGTTGTGTAAAGAAAAAAAATCATATATTATACCAATTATAAATTGATAATGAAAAAAAAAAATTTCTATTACGTAGCTGGATATAATATACAATCAGCTACTATAGGTCAACTATACAAAGTGTTTGATGAGGCAAAAAAAGAATGGAATGTGTTTCTTCGTTTCGAGATTACTGTGCGTTAGTAATAAATAATAATTCCTATCAGAAGTATATTGAATACGATTAACATGTGCCAGACTAAAGTCGCCTGTACAGAAAAATAACAAACTTAGAAATGACTGCAGTGACGTCAAAGTTTTCCGTCGACTAAAATAACAATATAATATATTATTATATCGTACAACATAATACTTATTATGTGCAAAGGAAATTATGTAAAATGTAATTTAATTGGCTGGTTCTTTAGAAAATGTTTTATCATCATTAAGCGTTACGCGTCTTACGCACTTCGAAAAAAAATAAATAATAATATTGCAAAAGTGGAGCTGCACATAATATTTATTACATTATTTGGTAAATGTTTTAGCACTTTTAATTTTACATTAAAATCCGCAAATAAAATATTAAGTAGCTATAGCCTACTTATTTATGCAAAAAACGAGCCACACGAATCGAAACTCGATTGTGCGCGTCGAGGAGTGTGTCAAATTCACAAGTATAATTCCTGCCAGTGCGATGTCCTCTTAATGATCGTACACGATAAGCTTAAATGATCTATCCAATTATTCATTGCCTACGGCCGAAACGAGCCCTCCCCTCTCCGGATTGTGTTGTATCGCGCGTCACCCTTCAGCAATTTTTTTTTCGGTCGGCGAATTACGGTTCGCATATTACTGCAGGTATAATACATGAATAATTTATTGTAAAAGCACGATATTACTATTATTATATGCCTATTTTCACGTTTCTACGAATCAGATTAAATTAATTTTGTAAGTTACCTATATAATATGTATAGGTCAAATATGTGCGAAAACATTTTAATTTTTAAACGATTTAGTAGGTATATAATCTAGGTATACAGTACGATAAAATTTTAAAAACTTTTTGACGATTTACTTTAAGTAATTACATATTTGGTGTGCGATAAATAGTAATTATAATACAGAGGATTACAGAATTAACTTTACTTGTGTGAATTTCAATAAAAATTTCATTGTTTATATCGAGTTCAAATGGCAAAAAAAAGAAGGAAATATCAACAGCATTTTTGGATGCGTCAGTATATAGGTGTACCTATATAATTTCTTGAATTCATATAACCGTATTCAATGACAGTTCACGATTGTATGGTTCATTATTTAACCGTTTCGAAGCAATCAAAACACGTTTAAGTAATTTAACCTATACAGCTATACCTATAGAGTGCAATATTTCGATTTACATACCAATTTAAAATTTCAAAACTGTAAGTAATAGTTTACAAGACATTAAGTCGTTTTGTCGGTTTCATATAAATGCAGTAAAATATGTAAATGTAATCGTTTATTTTTTTATTGTAATTTATATTTTATTTATTATTATTGTCATTATAAGAAATTTATTATGTATAATTTTATGCGAATACCGAAACGATTTTGAAATCTATTAAGAACCCCAGATTCAAAACATAATGATGACGCACTATGACGGTTTTTGCACATTGTACCACTTTACATCATAATTTGCAGTTATGAATTAAATTTTAAAAATGCATATAGTCTTCCACTAATGCTTTTTGTTTTAAAAAAAATACGTTTACCAGGGAAAACAGTTTTCAGAATAAAGTATAAAAACAAATTTTTGTCTTCCGATTGTCGTCGGCTTGTGTAAGTGCTTGGCATTCTAATGGTTTGAATGCAATTTTTTGGTGCATTTGAATGAAAACACAAATCACATCCCTACTTACATATAGAGATCATGCGACATAAAACCACACACAAGCGCACGCCATCACGCAAGCACACCATCGCACAAGCACTCAAACGCGCAAACACAAACACACAAACACACACGTACCTGCAACATGTGAGGGTCTCTCCAGACGGGTATATTGTTGTACGTAGACGGCGGCGTCTGATGTTGTTCGTTGGGCGGCGATGCGGCGGCCGCGTGGTCTTCGGAACCGCTGAAGGCGCTCGAGTGGGACCCAGAACGTTCATCGCCCGAGTTCAGCGTGCGCGACGAACTGAGACCTGAGTCAGACCGGTCGGCGGTCTCAGCGTACGGCGTGGCCACGGTGGCCGTGGCGTGCAGAGCGCTGTTGGTCAAGGACTGCTTAAGCTTTGACTGAAACGGCGTCGAGTTGACGGCGGTTGCGGTAGCCGCGGTAGTGATGGCCACGGCGGCCGCAGGGTTGACAGATGCGGCGCTGTTGGCCACTACGGCCGGATACTGATGATGACGGTTACGGTACTGTTGATATTTTTGCTGTTGATGTTGCTGTTGCTGCAGTTGATGTTGCTGTTGCTGCTGCTGCTGCTGCTGCATTTGGTGGTGGCGTAACTGATTATGTCTTTGCTGTTGCTGATGATGCTGCTGTTGCTGTTGATGATGCTGTTGCTGCTGCTTCTGTTGATGATGGAGTTGTTGCTGCTGCTGATGTTGATTATGGGGTTGTTGCGGCTGTTGCTGATTCCGTTGTTGTTGTTGTTGCATCTGTTGTTGATGATGTTGAATATTCTGTTGCTGTTGCATTTGTAGATGCTGTTGCATTTGTTGCTGTTGTTGATGTTGTTGTTGCTGCATTAGATGTTGTTGTTGTTGCTGCATTTGTTGTTGTTGTTGTTGTTGGTGCTGTTGCTGTTGATAATGGTGCAACGGCGGTGGCAGCGGCGGCGGAGGTATCCTATTGGTTTTGTCACCGTTAGTGGTGGCTTCGTCTGTACCGCCACCACTCGTGCCCCTAACGCCACCCAAATCTTCTTCCATGTAACTCGGCTGTGCCCAGTTACCCTTTTCATAAGCATTATCGACGGGACCTACCCACGCCAAAGGTTGTCCGTGCCCTGACGTCTTTGCAAGATTCGTCTACACTTTGCCCTAGCCGAATTTGCCGATGGCACGACTCACTGCGAACAACATCACACCACATCGATATTCAATTACATACATTTGTCTCAAAATATTGTAATATTATTGCAAGTACGTTATATGACGCCAAGTATAACGCATCTTATTAAGTACATATTCTAATCCAGTTATTAATTAATGATACGCGACAATAGTTGGGTTCAAGTCGACCATCGAAACGTATACACTTTATGGTATACACATTATCTAAGTAGGCCACCTAACCCAAGCGTGGTACTTAAATATTATATATATTTTAATCGGATGAAAATATAAACACATATTTTCCATTCGTTCGCATCTCGGTCAAAGTATTATATTATAGATCTTTTGGGACCTTTCTAAACATTTTGAAGTTCCGTTAGTTTTTAATTAAAAATCCGGTTTTAGCCCTTTTAGGGGACCTTCCGCGTATGAGTTTCATCCAAAGAGTTATTAACTCTATATAGTCGAACCAAAATAATACTTTCGTTTATCATATATATTATATACCTATATAATACGAATAAACCTTTTAAAGTATTAAATTACAGTTCATATAGAATTCTTCATAATATAATACCCAAACGATGACATGCGACCATAAAGTGTATACCACGGGCCCGAAATTATTATACTGTTACTATTAATATTATTATTATCATGATTATTACGAAATATGTTCGTCTGCATACGCTAATACTTCAATAAAATCATACAAAAATATATACTTGAATGATTTCGACCTCACCATAAATTTTTTTTTTTTAATGGTTCCTGAGACAAAAACGAACATCAAATAGTAATAATTAAATACAATGTGATTTGGATCGTAATTTTAAGACATATCTACGCATATTCCTGCATCTGCAAATTGTTATTTAGGTAATAATGTAATAACGTATCATAATTATATAGAAATACTTTATATATTAGGGTGAATATAGAAAACTTCAAAGGATATGAGCAATAATAATAAATGAAAAAATATTAATTATCTTAAAAACGATTTTGAGCTGAGTTATTATTTTTTTTTTTTAAGAAAGAAATTTAGAAATCCTTGCAACAGTCGAAGATCTTTGTATATTATTACATTTGTATTACCTTAAATGTTGGTATGGTGGAAATGCCACTTTTCTTATTAAACGTATTCAAGTCATTTAAAGAATTCATTTTCATCGTACCCATGGTTGAAAATTGAAATATACAAGGTATTATTGCATTTATACCCCTTCTCAATCAAATATTTGATGATAAAAATAAAAATGGCAGCGTCAAGGGAGCCAATAATAATCAAGTATTTAAGCCCACGATTTTGAATTCGTTCGCTTTTTTCGACGTATTTTTGATAATAAGAAAAATTGATATTTTTAATATCCCTTTAAGCGGCCATTTTGTTTCTTATGATAACAATCCTAGTCGATATGCAATAACCTGTATACCATGATACGATCGTAAATAGCCCTAAACCTACCTATACTTATTTTCAATAATGTAATTTTAATAAAATATGTCTTAGTTGTGCTAAAAATATAAAAATAAAACTGAACCGTATTTAGTATGAAATCTCCGTTTACTTAAAACAATTAAGACATTCACAGAAATTATTAAATACGCTAAAGAACCGTGATATAAGGTCATTACACCAGTAGCATTATTATAATGTAGTCACGATAACATAATACTAAAATATTATACATAATAATGTGATAATATTATTTTATGACGTATATTACATTATATTATGTAGGTACCTACCTAAGCTGTTGTCATTATAATCGATTTGCGTTTAATATTATATAGATACAAGCAACAGGCGTACAGCTATAAATATATATTGTATTCACCGTAAAGTACTACAAATTATATTTTGTCAGTATAGTTAAGACTTATAACGAGCGAACACATAAATACAAAGCGAAATGCAATGTATAATACCTGCTTATTATAATAGTGTTCGAGCCATTGTATAAACCTGCACAATGTCTTTAAACGAAAACATATTTGAATATTGTCTGATTCAACACGCGCATTAACGAAAGAAATTCAAACACAAATTTATAACTATAAGCCGAATGTTAATATATTTATGTTTTTATACTTATTTAATACGTAGAAATTTAAGCTGTATTAATTGCGAATAAATATAGTAGAATACATAAATTAACTAAGCAGGTTTTTTGAACAACAATTATTTCAAAGTACCTACTATACCTACCTACCCGTTTAAAATAAATGTTCGGTTACCGATTCCTAAGCTAATAAATTAGCAGTCAAGCTTATAAAGTTTATTAAACTCAAATATATGTATACACGCAATTCAAATTTAAAGTAAGTATTTTGTATCTATACAATCACAACTATTTACTTATAAAAGTTATACCTATATATTGTTAGATTATTACGGTGCAATAAATTTAAGAGGAAAATACGGTAAATAATGAATTCGTGATAATTTCACATTTAAGACATTTTCGCAAAATAATTAACATTTTGTAATTTAAAATTGAAGATTATTTTACCAACAATTTCCAATACAGTCACGGTACACATCATAATTAATATAATAGTTTTTATTAAAGCAAAGATTAAAGAAAAATAACTGAAAATCAAGAACCCATAATAAAATCTATGTGAACTTTTTTAAGAAAGGTGTGTACAATATTATAAGAAACTTTTGAATTACTTTCACTGTAAAAAACGTATTCCAGACCGTTTAAAAATAAATAATTGTTCTGAAACACATTTGTGTTAGAGCGCATAACTTAACCGCACACATATTATTTATAAACAAATTTAATTCAGATGTGACGTACATTATAATAGTATGTCATTTGAATGTAAACCTATTCCGATGATAAATATAAACAACGCACAGTGATAAAAATATAAAATTAATTCAACAAATGTGACAATTAATTTGTAATTATTACTGTACTATATACATAACGATAAGTGTGTGTATGATGAAAACTCTGAAAAGTTTTTAAACCTAAATTGAGGTTGTTATGCATGTTTTTTTCAACCGGGGAATAATTTTTCGATGCACCGAATTGTATGAGGTACGTACCTTCTGGCGGGCTCCTGACTCGGTCACGGCCCATAATGCTCAGAAGTAAAAGGAGTGGTAAACTATATTATACTACTCGACAACATAAAGCAAAATATTTATCGAACACACGAGAATTCAGAATTCACCACTCGACGCAGCATTTCCGTTCGAAAACAACGTATTGTTATTGTACATAATATGGATACGTTTGTTGTGAGGGAAGAAATACCCTGCGGCAGCTCAGCGAACCGAATCCTGTGCTCCATGAAAACAGCAAACTCGTTTTTTAGGGCGAATATAATATATTATAACCTATATAGAATTAGGACGATGTTTTTCTTCAGCCGAAGCGAGCAGGGTTGTTTACTCAACCACCTGCTCGAGTCTCGTAAAAGGCCATTTTCGTCGTTCAATATTTCCTCCCCCGGCCACCGACCAGCACTCCTCCTTTCACGCAGCCATTACAATAATATAAGTACAACTCACGACAGTTGTATGGTATATATAATGTATATATATATATATATATATATATTTATGGTTGTTTTCACTATATATTGCTGGTATGACATATTATATCTATCGTTGTGCGATTATGAGTCAGCAACTTGCCAACGTACGTTTTAATGGTTTACACTTGTGTGTGAGTATATATATGTATATATATATTATATATAGACTTCAAAAATACACCCACGATGATGATATAATCACGCTAATGATTTATAATGATGGTTCTGTACAGTATAAGTACAAATACTTCCTAAAAAAAATCTTTTTTTCAAAACGAAAAGACATCACGGTGATTATTTCTGACTTATGTAATTGGATGAAAAAAAAATCGACTAAATACAATTGGTTTTCAATCGGTTTTCAATCTAAGACTATTTTCAAATTCACGTTTTTATAAGCAATGTGTGACGGATGGACCGAGAGTGAACATACCCAACGACGCATTTTGAAAACAAACTATTAAGTTACGAAATAGGTAATTAATTACACATAGTTAATCGGTAGTTTATTTATATTCTATAATATATAGCTTCGAGTTTCGACGTAATTCACATATTATAATATATTACACGTATATTGTATACATTAATAGGTGCATATTATAGCTGATAATAAGTTTCGAAATAAACAAACAATATAATTTTTTTTAAGAAACAATGATACCTCAGAGTAAGGTAACTAAAGCATACTTCTTTATTTTATAATATAAATTAAATTTATGCTGAATTAATTTTAAGCGATATAACAGCAATTATAATAATTATTTTTATTTTTAATTATTACAATTAATTCATTGGTTTAGCACATAATTACATCACTGAAAAATTCTAGATTTCAATTAATTTCAACGTTATATAGGTAGGTACATTCATTCGAGTTCTTACAACTATATAATTATAATTTGTCATAGTTAGGGTTCGGATTTTCGTGTTAAATAATAGTCAAGGGATATGATACTATATTATAAGATATTTCTTAAGCCCTAAAATATTCTTAAATACCTTTGTGAAAAAAAATGTATTTTCTTCATTTTTACTCCCATCAAACTACAAATACTCATTTCGAAGATACGGTAAAAATATAAAAATCCTGACTTTTATTGATTTCTTAAAATATATTTAACATCATATCATTTATTTCACATTATAGTCTTACAACTTATTTTCTCTGCTAGTTAGTGGCCATGACAACGCCATTGTGTCTGGGAATATCTGCGAAATTAAGATGTTTGTATTGAATGAGGAGAACATAAAATTAAAGAAACTTGATAGACAAAGCCACTAAGTATAAAGATTCTCGATATATAAGTATCAAA